TCTCTTTTGCCACTCATATATATATATATATATATATATATATATATATAAAGGCCAATGCCATAGCCTTCTTCTTCATAACTCAAAACCCTCTCTCTCTCTCTCTCTCTTGTTGGATATGGCCTCAAGACTCGTTGCTTCGTTTATCATCACCATCATCGTCATTCATGCTGCCTCTGGTCTCTCTCTCTCTCCCTCCCTCTCTCTCTCTCTATATATATATATATAGTCCATATATATGTAAGTGTATACAATCAAAATATTTTGTTTTTTCTCACTTTGTTATATATTAATTATATTATGTGAGTTTGGGATAAATTGTTACAATATATATATATATATATATATATATATTGCAGGAGCGGATGCAGAAGAAGTGTGCTTGGACGGATTAGGCATCTGTACTAACGGCAACGAATGCGACCAAAAATGCAAGGCCAAGCATGGACCGTCGACCCAGAGCACGTGCGACTCCACCATGGGCAAACCCTTATGCACGTGCTTCTTCTTTTGCTCACAACCATGACATTAATATATAATAAACTCTTTAACCTAATTAATGTCTCTATTTCCTCTTATTTGTTCTAAATATTTTATGTTTAGTTTAATGGATTCACAGTACTATCAAATCCGTACATGAGGGTTTGCTCATTTTCATCTTTAATAAATTCTTGTAGCGATTTCATATATATTTCTTGAATGCAGATATATATACACTCTGAAAAAAAATCCTCCCATTTAATTATATTTTTGTTTGGGTATTTTTTTGTAGGTGAATGTACTCATAATTATATGTTTTGAATCTTCTATGTAATATGTGTACGTACGTTTCCTTCATGGGTTGGAAAGCGTGTAGAAATGGCAAAATCTAAAAAGCTTATAGAAATTGAGAGGCTCGGAATTGAACCCATATTTTTGTTTATATAATAAGCTTCAAATAAAGAGCCACCAAGGTTTATGATTTATTTTATACAATAAGCTTCGAATTCAGATAAGACGGTATGTCACATATCATTTTTTATTCCCTATTTGTTTTTTTAAATCTCATATTTGTTTTTATATTTAAAAAACAAAAACACTTCTTCTGTTTTGTAGCGACTCAATCTCTTGTTGTTCTTGAATCCGGAATCCAAGTGTTTTCAGACAAAAGTCAACCAGGGAGCTGTATGGGATGCCAAACATCAAAGTACAAAAACCAAGATTCTACAAACATGTTTTACAAGAAAGATGAAAACAACCAGAACCCAAGTGTTTAATGTCAGAAAAAAAGACAAACCAAGAGTCTACAAACATGTTTTGCAAGAAAGGGTGAACAAGCAAAGACTGAATGCACTTCATAGGGAACAAAGAAAGCATCTGTGTCATGTCGTCGGATTGGATCCATCAAGCCCTGTGACTGGCTCGAGACACGATCACGACCAGCAGGACCACGACGGAGAGAAGGACCGATGTCCTTAGCTTTTCTTCAAGCCAAGCGTTTGCTCTGATGTCTTTTCCGTTGCTAGATTCATCGGGTTTCTTGATGAAGAACTCGGTTGCAAGCTTTAATATCTTCTCAAACACTTCCATGGCTTTCGCCTTTGTGTTGTCAAATACCCACCTTATGAAATCAGTTGCTGGATTGTCTTCCCCGGGAGTGTCGTCTGAGCTCAACTCATCATTCCCTGCTTTGAACAAGAAGCAATGTCCACACTGGGAATTTCGGGTATGAAAGTTTCGAAACAGAGGTTTAGATTGTGTCGGTCTTATAATACCTCGACTTATGCCCGTGTTGTACAACTCCCTGATCTCTTGTACCACTTCGTTGTTCATGACAGCATCCCAAACAGCTTTGTCAGATGACAAAGACACCACCATTCTCTGCATAATATGTCAGAAGCTATTGAGTTATGCATCCTAATCTAAAGAAGTAACCAGCTTGGAGTTTTGTTCGAAGATTACCCCTCTGATCGTAACAAAAAAACCCACACGGTATCTAAAGATTCGTCGATCAAACCTATAGCATGGCTTAGATCTTATGATACAATGCCCCCACAAGCACAAGCGAAAACTGTCAGTGAAAACTCACTGCATCGAAGGATCCAGAGCTTCAACAAGTTCAACACGAAACTAGCCAAAAAAAAAATTTCTTTCCGGGCATCGCTTCTTTTCAAGATTCAACTAAATTAACAAACTTGAGTTAGGGTATATATATATATAACCTGGACGGATGGTTCAGTTTGCAGCAGATGAAAGGCATTGTAAACGTGGTCATAACCATGAGACTGCAGGGTTCTTGCATGGCAAAGCTGCATTGAAGGCTCCAACCAGTCAAGATCTGATCCAGATGAAGAAGCAGAGTGAAACATGCCATTGGAGCTCGTGATTCGGCTGGTTTCGTTATCGTTGCACTCGAATTTGTCTCTAACAAGATGAGGGTGGGGACTACCATCGAAAACCCTTTCAAAATAGAACAAAAAGAAAAAGAAAAAGAATCAATGGTAGTGGCAGCCATTAATTGTGCATGAACTCATTCTCACATAAACAGGAAAGGAGGTTTACAAAGTGACAAAAGAATATCACAAACCAAAAAGAGAAGAACCAGCAAACAAGAAGAAAGGTTTAGGGATTTGGATCTTCACAGAACAGAGCCATGTTCCTAGTACTGCAATCATTAGTGTTCCATTAATTAACATGAGGACCGTCAAGGAAGGAAAAAGCCAAAGCAAATACAAGAAGTAGAGTTTTAGAGTTCCTTCTTCAGTTCAAGTTCAAGGTTTTCATCAAGTCAAGACAAGACAACAACACTCCATCACAATCAGAAAAAGTGGCTGTCCCCCAAAAGAAAAAGCACAATTTTGAGACATGCAACGAAGTAAGGACAACTCTACAGTTCTTATCAGCGTTCCCAATCTAAATTTGGTTGACTCTCTAACATCAACCAACCAAAGATTATCCACGTGATTCTAAACCATCAGTAGACATATGTGAGATTAATCAGCTCCACAATTCCAAGGAATCAAAAAGCCCCAAATCTCAACACTGCGAACAAACATGCGTATATACGGATTCATGAAACAAAAGCTTAGAGACATGGATATGAGAAGTTACTGTTGGAGAGCACAAACAGCGTCTTGGACTTCATCGAGTGAAGGAACACAACCAAAGACAAACTCCTCGTCACTTCCTTCTTCAGATACCCACTCGAAATCATCATAAACTCCAGAACTCACACGGGCAAAAGCACCGCCACCGCTCCGACCGGGATTCGCAGCCACCGGAAAATTCAACGGCGACCCAGATACTGCAATCGCCAGATTGTTCGACCCAGAAGAAGAACTCGGCTTCTGGGGTTTCCTGGAAGCTGAACCAACACATCCGCCATGGGAGCCGTTCGAAGCACCTGCGTTTGCAGACGAAGATGAAGAAGAGAAGGGCTCTTGAATCCCGCCGTTGGCGACGCCGGTCCTCGTCATGGCTCTTCCGGCGGCGCGTAGCATACCTCTGCCGCCGCCCATCGGTCCTCTTCCTCCACCGAACATCGAGTGATGTAACCGCTGTTCTGATACTCGAACAGGTAACGCTTACTCGGTGGTTGTCTTGGTCTGCTTCTTGTCTAAAACGTCAATTGGAAGCACTAATGGGGTCTGACAGATTTCGCCATCTTTAACTTTTTTAGGATTCTGGAAACTTTGATGCTTTCGAGGGCAGAGAATGGATAAATTCAAAAAATTGCAATGTCTCTGGAATTTTGGAAGATTTTGCTTTCCTTTTGTTCCTCCTCCTCATTCTTCTTCTCGACACACTTATCCATTACTTCTCCTTATTTTTTTAATGTTTAAAATTCGAAAAATAATATGATCCAAAGAAAACCCATTTGCGATTTATCAAATCTATATATGAACTATGAATAATAACATAAAATAAAACGAACACTGCCTTTGTAGCTTAAGGTTTTCTTTCTTTCTTCTTGTTTCCTTTTTTATGCATATAACTAACTGATTAGAGTTGAAATCATATTAAATAATTTTCTATCACTATACATTTTAATGAAATATATTTAGCCAAAGAATATTAACACTTTTTATTTTCATTTGATACAAAAATATCTACCAAAAGAATAAAACAGTTTACTAAAATTAATTGTGCAAAAAAATTATAAATACGTACCTTTACTTAATAAAATATGTAAATATGTCCGCCCATCATCACCACTTATAATTTATCAAATATAAGGTTTTAACACATAACCTTTGTTTCAATTTTTATTATCTATATAAAAAATAAATAATTTCATAGTATTATATTAACAATACACGTTATTTATTTTTTTTATGTATAATTTCTTCAAAACTTGTATATATAGAGATAATAACGATAATTCTAACAATTCAATACCTTTTTTATTTAATATATAGTATTCTTTGACTTTTTGCTTTGTGTCCATTCATTCGAATTTACTAATCAATGGTTGTCGATTTGATTAATATTAAAATATAATACATTACTAAAGCTAGGTAAGTGGGAAAAAAAACCGGTGGCGTGTGGGCATCCTCTTTGGAATTTATGGTTTTGCTTGTAATTAAGCTATATAATTAAATGTCGTTATAAATAGATTTGTATGACGTGGCATTCATATTCCGCCCTTCGAATCATTTTCATGGATATAAAAGTTGAATTAAAGTATGGTAGTTAGTAAGAAAATAAATTAATAAAGAGGAACATTTTTTGCATTGTAAAACTTTTAAAAAATAAAGAAATAAAAAATAATTATAGTTTCACATTGAAAATTAGTTGAAACTGAAATTGGAATGCGTTATTCAATTACAGTGCATAAAAAATATTTTTGAAATTCAAGAAAAATGTGATGTCACATACTGTCTAAAAAGCCTCGAATGAGGATATGCTTTAAATATTCAGATGGGCCATGGTTCAAGCCCATTACAATAATCCGGCCCGTATAGCCCAAATATGACCAAAGGGTAACCCGATCTGTCCTAATTTGGTAGATATCTCAATTTCATTCTGAGTTTTCCCAATAAGACAACCCGACCCGTCAGCCATTTTTCAGGTTTTATTTATTTATATATTCTGAGTTTTTTTTATTGATAAGAATCTTATTTTTCATAAAATCAGGTTTTTTTCTGTTTTTGTATGGTTCGGATTTGAATTGTTAATTTTGGAAAAATTATACGCAATCGATTTTTATATCGAAATTGAATTTAAGATATTGGATTTTTTGTTTTTGTTTTACTTTTATTAGTCGAATATGCAAATGATCACCTTTACTCTCGTTGTTGCTACTTGCTCATTACAAGGCTTTGCAATGAGAAAACTATATAGAGAGATATCAAGAAATTGGATTTGTGATATAATGACATCGTATATATAATTTGATCACAATGATTCTATGATATGATGTCTACCGTATCTAACCAAACTCCCTCCAACTCCCATTTCTTGCCTTTTCTAAAAAAAACGATATATATATATATATATAAATAAATAATAACGGACGCGTTCTTTAGTTTTCGGACAAAGATCGAACATGTGGAATATGCTTTGAAAGTGATTGAAGATCAAGCCATTTGAAAAATGAAATAATACTAATTTAAAAAAATGTTATGTAATTTAGAAAACGATTTTATTCAGAAAAAAAAACATTATTTTGTGCCTTAATCGTTTGGTTGGACGATGATATCTGAAAAAGTCGGAAATATATATATATATATATATATATA